ATAATTTTTTTATGATTTTTTTTTCCTGCCAGATTTCAACGTTGACTTTTCTTTTATGAATTTTTTTTCCGGCAGTCTCGCCGTTGACTTTTGACTTTATTTTTCTCTCTCTACATTACTGTGTTAACAATAAAATTATTGTCTTAGACAGTAATATTGAATGCCAAAACAGTAATATTACTGTTCCGGGAAGTAATACTACTAATATTGTTGTCCCAAATAGTAATATTATTGCATGAGACAGTAATATTACGATCGGAGACAGTAATATTACGGTCGAAGACAGCAAAATTGCAGGGCAAGACGATAAAATTAATTAAGACAGTTAAATTACTGTCTCATAAAGTAATATTATTGTCTCCGAGACATTAATATTAATGAAATTAATTTTTATAAGAAAAATAAAGGGTTTAAAAAAAAAGGTCAACGCCTGAGACCGCGATCAACCATGGTTGATGTGTCGGCAAAAAAATCAGAAAAAAAGAAGTTTAACAAAAAAAAAAAAAGTCATTGCTAGAGACCGGCGGTGGCTGTCAAAATTTGAATAAGGGTCAAAAATTGAATAATTTATGATATTGAACTAAATTGGGTTGTAGATCATGAAATTGTGGTTGAATTTGGGTGTCAAGGAGTTGGGGTTATTTTAGTATATATGAAAGTGTTTTTCTTATTTTCGAATAAATTTGAATATGGTGGACTTATTTGCAAGACGAAAAAATTGGGTGTCCTTCTTTTAATTAAATGCTCTTGTCATGAATCTATTTGTCATTTACTATTAAGTATTTACTAGTACTAGCAATTCTCCATGCTGTATTGTGTAGCTTTGCAAAAAAACAAAAAGAAAAATTAAATATATTATAATAAAATTATATCGAACAAATGAATACACAATATCCAAATACAATTTTGAATATTTTTTTTTCCTGCAATAGATTGTGTATAAGCAATTCATTTTCTTCTCAATTTATTCATGATGAAAATCGAACAATCCATATGCTGCATAAATTGAAAAATGAAACTTGTATTTTTTTTGGGAAATTAAAGAAATAAATCAATAATTGTTGAGGTGGAAAAATGTGAATGTAACAATAGTTGGAAAACAAAATTATAGTGGTGTCAAAGCTATTATTTCATGTGTTTGTTTATCTTTTCGAATATTTGCTGTCAAATCATGCACAATGCATCTTTTATAATATTTTTTGTGGTATTTTTAGAATGACAAATGTTGAATCAAAAATTTTATATTCATTCATACTTTTGGAACTAGAGAGTGCAAATTTAAAATATATCTCATCAACATATATAAAAAATATATTCTTTTATTAAGTTGTTTGAAAATTATATTTTCTTGCAAAGATTTCTATCAAGTATTTTCACAAATTACAATAGAAGATTCAAATCGAATAATTTTGTCATGAAAAAAATGTTTTTTTTTGTGATAATATATATTTTTTTAGTAACTTAGTGTGATTTTTCTTAGGCACTTTGTATGCTCAAGATTAGACTAAGGGTTGAAGAAAATATTTTTGTAATTATTTAGTTTGCACAGTTTGGAAAAATAACCAATAAAAAATAAAATTGACCTCATTAAGTTTTGAAAATACAATTAAGGGTGCGCACAGTGAATAATTAATTGTATTTCGAGGATGCAAAACGCTTATTATTTTTTCGAAGATTCAAAGTGTTAAAGTGCTATATATTTTTTTTTACTAAATACAATCATTTACAATGACAAGTGGGAGGGCAACTCGAACTCTAAAACTATAACCTATTGGTGAGGGTATATGCTCTATTTGAAAGGTGCAAAGTAAAATTATGCCGCATTGTAACAAAATCATTGACTATAAACTTAATATTTTTTAATGTTTTGTGATAATAGTGGTTGTGTCGACCCTCTAGTTTCTAGAGTTGTAGTAGCGTGCCGTATTTCACAACCAAGGCCTTCTTCCTCTATTTGATATCTGCCCAATTTTGATCGCTAATTTGTTTTTACTTCTTGAATATATATATATATATATATATATATATATATGGGTATATATATATATATATATATATATATATATATATATTGAGAGAGAGAGAGAGAGAGAGAGAGAGAGAGAGAGAGAGAGAGAGAGAGAGAGAGAGAGCTTATTATAAAGCATTTGTATACGAAACTATACATATATGTACATACGTTTCATTTAAATGCATTCTAAGAGCACCTTATCCATATTTACGTCAACGTGTACTTCGTTTTTCAAATGAGCTTACAGCATAACGTGTAATTACATTTACAACTAGGTGAGTGCACCAAATCAATCGGTTTTGTCAAAACTAAAAAAAAATCCAAAGTGATGTTGATTGAGCAACTCAAGAATATTTGAGCTAAAAACAAAAATAAAATTATTCGTCAACATACAAAATAGATAATAAACACTAGATGACGTGTCGCAGTTTGTTCGATATTTAAATAAGAATATTGTTGGCGCCAGATTTCCGAGTATTGAAGATCAAGGAAATCCGCCGAGTTTTGGAACTAAAAGATTGGCAAAGATTTGTTTTCCATGTTTATTTTGGAAATTATTAGAGTCCTATTTTATAATACTTCTATTAGGACTTAGATTTATTTCCATGTATTTTATTCTAGTTAGGTATCTTTTGTACTTATCTAGAATAGAAGTAGAAATCAACTAGGATTCTATTACCTAGTTAAATAGATTTCTTGAGGTTCAAGTTAGGTCTTAGGGCTTATTTTCGTGGCTATATAAGCCTCCAAGACATACAAGAACCGTGCGCATTATTTGGAAGAAAAACCACTTCATAGCGTCGAAGGTTTGCTAAAGGCGTTCTGCGGAGCAGGACTGTGCCGTCGTTGCACTGTGCCATCGCTGTGTGTGGCAATATATACAGATCTGCTGTATAGATCTCAAGGGAGATCAGCCGCGTTTCTGAAGGGAGTTCAGGCCTGAAGGGAGTTCGAGGCACGCGGTGTGGAGCTGCTGTTGGAAGAGACACGGAGTTCAAGTTGTGTACAAGAACGGCATATTACATAAAGAGGGAGTCTTTAGTGTTTTTAATAAGTCCTATTAATGTACACTGTAAATCTGAACTAGTGAAATCGTGTTTGCAGGTCCACGTGGATGTAAGACACATTTGTGTCTGAACCACATTAAATTCTTGTGTTTGTTTACTCGCTTTCAGTAGTTTATAACTGTGTTAACACAAGAATTGTAGTTGTAACTGCATACTGTTCCCACAACAACTGTTACAACTTCGGTTAACAGACTTTCATAGGCATTTAAAATCAACAAATATTGTTGCATAATATAAACTCATAATTTTTTACTTATGAAATAGAACGTATCACGATATGGTTAAATACACCCATCTCATCAGCTATGTATTATCTTACGAAAAAAATTGTCATTCAATAGGTAAATTTGACACTGTAAAAATGGACGTGTAAGACTATACGTAGTTATGGGGGTATAATTATCCAAAATATTTTTTCATAATTCGACTTTAGATTAGAGGGTGACCGTAATTTGCCATTTTCTTTTAAATGAGAGGTTGAAGACCGACTCTCTCTGTTCTAGCTACTCTTTTGTCGAGGACAAACAACAACACATATTCGAATAGGCCTTAAGAAGTGAGGAGTGCCATAAGATATCTCGTATCAATTCATAACATATGTTTATGAGAAGACCAATGGTTTCCATTAAGCTGCAATTGTAAACAAAAATTAATAAATAATATTTAGTTGTGTTATTTGGGGAGACAATACTAGTAAATCTGGATACAATGTTGTGTTATTCAAATTAAATTTTAGAGAAAGTTAGGAAAAAATGACGAAGCTTCACAACACTCAAAATCAACGAAAATTCAGAAATAGATAGAGAGAGAGGACACAGCTTTCCACCAAACCGCCAATGACTCATCATCCCAAACACCTCCTACGTTACAAAACCTTAGCCGATCGATGCCAACCACCCAAGGTTTGAAAAAATCACAAAAACAAATATCACTATCAAAATTGAATAAAATTAACACCAAAAGATAAATATTGACAGGAGGAATCAAATATGGGTAATCCGTCAAATTTCGACCGTAAGAAAACAAGTTACCTCTCCAAGAAGAACTGTCGTCGTCGAAATCCACATCAAGAAGAACCACCGTCGTCGAAATACACGTACACTATAAAATGATTGCAGAAACAGATCCAGAGTTGCAAAACTTACGCAATTACCATCAAAACAAAGAACTTGACGAGATGAATCAAACGTTAGTTAAATCAACAAATTCCAACCGTCGGAGAGAAAGTTATGACTTCGAAAAATACCATTGTCGTCCCATAAAAATTATAAAGCGGAAATTTGGATATACTAGAAAAAAAATGGTGGTTGGATAGAGTTTAAATACAATTCTATAAAGAGTATAATAGGTATTCTATGTGGGCATGTCAAATTTTGATAAAATGTAAGAGGTATCACAAGGGTGTAATCTTCTTGATAGTTAGTTCAATATATTTGTCAAATGAGGGTCCATCAATTAACCCCATATATTATTAAATGTATTCTCAAAAAATAGGGCAAATTACGGCCACCTTCTAAGATCATGTCAAATTACGAAAAAACCATCTTGTTTGCATAATTACAGCGGGCCTCTCAACTATGTATCGTGATAATACATAGTTTTGAGGCGGGCGCTGTAGTTATGCATACAAGATGGTTTTTTCGTAATTGGGATAATTATTTAATCTTGACTAATTTTATCATGTAACTAATTACCTGGCCTTATATTTATCTTATATACATGAATTGAAAAGAAATGGATTTAAAATTTTCAATTTATAGCAACTCAGTAAAATCCATTTTAAATAATGATTTTATTAGTAAAGTTTTAATTCTGATCCGTTATCCACCCCTATAACATAGATTTGCACAACACGAAATTACTTTGCAAACAAATATCCGAATTAGAAGAAATGTCCAGAAAAGTGAAACCGTGTCCTCATATATTTAATAATGTATATAGCATATATATATATATAGTGTGATTGATTGTAGCATATCAATAAATATAACCGACCAAGTTTCAATTTACATAACACGGAGAAATTAAAAGAAAAAAAACAATAACATATATCTCGGAGAACACTGTGTTTTGTGTGTGTGTGTGTGAGAGAGAAAGAGAAAGAGAATATGGAGATGGAGGGAATTGAGCACAGAACTGTGAGCGTTAACGGCATAAACATGCACCTAGCCGAGAAAGGCGGCGAAGGCGGCCCTGTTGTTCTCTTCCTTCACGGCTTCCCGGAGCTCTGGTACACATGGCGCCACCAGTTAACGGCGTTTGCCGCCCTCGGTTACAGGGCGGTGGCGCCAGACCTCCGCGGCTACGGAGATTCTGATGCGCCGGCCGAAGCTTCCAGCTACTCGTGCCTCCACGTGGTGGGCGACATAGTGGCGCTGATTGAAACCCTCGGCGGCGGCGGCGCGCCGGTGTTGTTGGTGGCGCACGACTGGGGGGCTATGATTGCGTGGTACCTCTGCTTATTCCGTCCGGATTTGGTGAAGGCGTTTGCTGCTTTAACGGTGCCGTTTCGTCCCAGGCATCCTAAGATGAAACCTGTTGAAGGCATGCGAGCTTTCTTTGGAGATGATTACTATATGTGCAGATTCCAGGTTCTTTTTTGTTTTTTGTTTTCCTCTAATTCTATATAATATTTTTTGTTTATTAATATTATTATTCATTATTTTTCTAGTTATATATTTCACATGGATAATAATCTTGGATGACGGGATAATTTCAATAATTAAACACCCACAAACAGTGATTTTGATGTTTAGCTTATAAGATATTTAAAAGCTTATAAGTTCTTCAAAGTGATTGGTAACTTATTATAAAAATAAATTATTGAAGAGTAAATAATTTTTTTTATGTAGCTATATTTATCTCATATTTTTATTTAAAATCTTATAATTAGTAAAAATGACAAATAATGTCATTATCCTAACACTTTAAAAATCAATTCAAAATAAGATAAAACAACTTGTTAACTTTTAAAACATCTTATCAGACGTAAGAACTTATAAATAAACTTAGCCAAATGCCCCTGAATATTTATAAATGAAATTTAAATAAGATACCATATAAGCATTTTAATTTGGATTAGGAAGAATGAAACATGAAAATGAGTAGGCAATTTCCATTTCTTTTTTTCTTACTACAATAAATAAGGATTAATGGCAAGTACAGCTGGCAATATAATATAGGCTCCCCATCTGAATGTATATTTATGACTATTAATGACACAGTACTGTTGTAATGTGACTAGCTATATTCAATTACTAATATTGGTGCGACAACATAAATGAATTTCCAGATCTGCAGTATCCTTGGGGCTTGGACCATATGGAACAATAAACTCTTCTTCCTCCCAATTTAAATTGAAAATTTTAAATAAAAATTGAAGAATATATGTTAGAGGATAATTTGTTTAAAAAAAAAATTCATTTTTAACCTTTCGAATTATCCAAAAAAATAATCACGTACATATTTTTGAAATACCGAGTACGTACGATCTTTTGTCGCGTCTCTGACCCACCGAACCGTTTGAAGCGGGTCCAAATGAATTAAATGGTTATAGATCAGGTATTACATTACGTTTCCAAAATCCCATTTCTCATAAATAATACATATTACTTGTTGATTATCGTTAATTGTTTTTTCTTTTGAGTTTTATTTATCGTAAAAGTTATAGATAATTTCATTATTCACTTTATATCACTTGTAGACTTTATAAAATATTGTATTTTAATTTTGAGATTGTTTTGTTAAAATATACCATTAAAATATTATAAAAGTTAAAAATTTTACTTTTTTTTTTTTTTTTATGTCAACGGGTCTAGTGGGTCTAATGAGTTAGAACTGTTTCATTCGGGTCTGGGTTGTGGTGGGTATGGGTCTAAGGTAAAAAGGGTTGGGATGAGTCTGAGTTTTATATATTTTTCACAGCACGGGTCTCGGGTTTAGGCAAACCAGCCCTTGAACCGACCGGTTGTCAGCCCTAGTTAGAATACCTTTGGATTCTTATGTTGAAATGTAATTATATTAATTTATAAGTTAATTAATTTTCCTTTTCTTTTTTTTTTTAATTAAAAATAAACTTATAAATTGCTGAACATGCATATTAATTGAGGAACAAATTAAACCAGTTGTACAAAGACAACACTGGACCCAAGATTAGGTGGTCACGTACATAGTCATATTTATAGATTCATTTAAGTATATATATTATATAGAAACTTTGCTCGTGGGCTGTTGAAATTTAAATATATGTGTGATGTCGATATATGTTGATCGATCAAATTTAATTGTGGACGGCTGTCGTAATGTCATTATTAAATGCTACACTGAAATATTAATAATCATTAACCAGTGTCCCGGTTCGTATTCATACTGGAAAAATTGTCGAATGTATTTTCTATTATTTTGTATCAATCTGCTTGAAATGTGTGTTTAATTAACAAGAAATAATGTAACAGGAACCTGGAAAGATAGAGTCTGAAATTGCAGAATATGGAGCAGAAAAGGTGATCAAGAAAATCCTGGCAGACCGTTCACCCGGTCTGCCCCGTTTACCCAAAGAAAACCCGTTCGGGTCCAAAACTGATGACATCAAATTACCACCATGGCTTTCTCAACAAGACCTCAACTTTTATGCTCAAAAGTACGACAAAAAGGGCTTCACCGGCGGACTCAACTATTACCGCGCACTTGATTTGTACGATAAGTACTTTAATTTTTTTTAAATTAACCTTTCGAGATCAATTTCATTGTCCTTCTCATTGAATGATATGCAGTTAAACCTTTATATATTAATGCAGTTGAAACCAACCAAATTGTATTAATTCAGCGAAATATTAATTTATCGAGGCTGTACTGTATGTAGGAATTGGGAGCTGACAGCGGCATGGACAGGAGCAAAAGTGAAAGTACCGGTGAAATTTATAGTAGGGGATATTGATATGGTGTACAACACACCAGGAGTTAAGGAATATGTTCATGGAGGTGGATTCAAGAATGATGTTCCACTACTATGTTTCATTATATTAAACTCTATTTTTCTTATAAAGCCTACCCATCGAAGCCCAAATGAATTATATGATATAACACCGCCATATTCCTTCTCTTTTCCTATTTTCTACATTATGTATTCTGAGCTCTACTTCTCCCTTGTTTCGTCGGAAATTGTCTACTAATGATTGATCCATCCTAAGAAAATAAGATTCCGAGTTCCGAATATTTAACCGATTAAGGTTGCTAACCTTTCCTCTAATATTAATTTTGCTTCAATTCACTTGTTTGTGATACTTTAAACCAAAAATAAAAAATAATCTAAATAAATATTTTTGGGGTGCAACCCTTAAACTCTCGAAATATTTAAATCCACTATGTGATAAATTTCTAGCCTTGCCACTGTGTGCATTTGCAAGGGAATACCGTGAATACGGGTTCGTACTAATAGAAATATAACCAAATACATCAAAATGTGAATGGGGTGATCAAGTTACTATTATGATTATAGGTAAATTAATAACTTCATAGAATACAAACAAGGCTCAAGAATTTTAGGTGGCCCGACTCAACTAAATATACATATGTTGGAACCACATTTGTACTTCGACGATCGATCATAAAATTAAGTAAGGCGGCGAAGCACGGACTAGGTTGCTCTCTTGACATGAATTTCATGACCCCTTTCCGAAATAATGCGCATAAAAGTTGTGATCTTGTCGCCCACAAGATACAACATCCCAGCCTAATCTCAGCTGTAGCTTCTATACATTCAAGTAAAGCAGACGAATTTTACACCAAACACACAGCAAGAACTTAAACTATAGAATATAGGTTCAGACAAAAAATAATTTTAAAAATAAACCCATCCCCATGTCTTTTGTCTAAAATACCCCTCATAATATAATTATCATCAATTCCATCCAATGCACTCTAACTTCATCAATATTGTACATTGACCCATGATTTGAACAAATATATAATATTAACCCCCATTTTTATAACTTTTTAAATTTTTTTAGAAAATAATTTTTTTTTCCGACCAGATTCCGGTGTTGAATTTTTTATTTTTGAAAAAAATGTTTTTGTAATTTTTTTCTACCTATATTATTGTGTTAACAACAAAATTACTGTCTAAAACATTAATATTGAATGCCAAACCAGTAATATTAGTAATATTACTGTCTCAAACATCATTACTACTGTCGGAGGCAACAATATTGCAAGTCAAGACGATAAAATTAATTAATACATAAATATTTATGTGTTAACAATAGTACCGAGTGAGACAGTAATATTACTAATATTACCGTTTTCGGACAATTATTTTGTTGTTAAAGCAGTAATTTACGGAGAATAAAATTACAAAAGAAAAGGTCAACGCCGGAGACAGGCGGTCAACGATGGTGATTTGCCAGAAAAAAAAAATTTCCGAAAAAAAAAATCAACGCCAGAGATCGGCGGTGATGGTCAAAATTGGTTAATTGGTGAAATTAGACTAAATTGGGGGTGTAAATCATGAAATTGGGGATCACATAAGTATTTGTTGACAACAACAAATATAATACACCTGAGGCTGGATTGCAAAATTGGAGGCAAGTTTTCAAAATTTCAGTACTTACAATTTTAATCGATAAATTTGATGAGTTTCCCTTATATTGTTTCTTCAATTATTGAGGATTTATTTTATTAATTTTGGAAGGTTTGATTCCAGTTTGCACCCTCGAGAATGCATTGCCAAAAACAAATTATCATCACGTTCGCCCCAACATAAGTTTTAAGGTTAGTGAAGATAATTTCATCTATTAGTAGCATTTATAAATGAAAATTTTCTTTTATGTTATAAATATAACTCAAATAATAGAATTCTGATAAATAAATTAGAAAATGATTGGATATGTACCTCCTTTATCAGAATTGATATAAAACAATGATGATTTTTTTTTGTATGAAACGATATTACATATGTAATTTGGTGAGAAAAAAATAATTGAAGGGTGGAAAAGTTAAAAATTTAATATTTTTGCACCAAGAAAATAAATATTTTTGTATGGGTGTATTCACGGATGGTATTTTCATTTTTAGTGTCAAGTAAAATTATTTGGTTCTCCCCACAATTCAACCATTTTTCTCACTATTTTACTAGAAATTTTCTCAAATTATACTCTTTATTGACAAAGATCTGCCAAACAAATAATTTATTTCGAGAATTTTGCTAAAATATCAATTGGGGTGCAATGTGAATGATTATCTTTTTACTGGGGGTGCAAAGTGCCAAATGCTAGATTTTGAGAGTGCAGAGAAAAAATGACAGTTGTAAAATCTTCTCAAAATTTCAATAAGTTTGACTGACATATGTAGGATTTAGGGTTGACATTTACCTCTCTGCAAATATTGTAAATTTACTCATTTTCTTGATTTACAATTTAATATTTGTCTTTTTGGGTTATGAATATGATCACAAGTGGGTAGTATTATTTGTTTACTTGTAGGGGCAATTTGCTATAGGTCCTCCTATAAGAGTTTTTATATGTATAAATCCAGTTACTAATTCCCTATTTTTATTATATTTATTATTTTAATAGTGTCTAAAATACCCCTAATAAAATAGGAAAAATAAAATCTCCCTACCAAATAAAATCCCTCAAATCTCTCTACCAAATAAAATTCCCCCAAGTCTCTCTCTCTCTCTCTTCTCCCAATTTTAATTAAAAAACAAGTTAATTCGTGGAAAAATAATTCTGCAAAAATTCAAACTCTCAAACTTCATCATACAAACGTCAAATGCAAATAGTAGACACCAACTAAAAAAATATAATAAGTAACTGCAAACAACATACTACACTCGGCCAAATGCAAACAACAAAGTGCAAAGTCGAATATGCATCATCTAAGTAAACAGTAAATTAAAAATAAATTGAAAATATGATTAATATCGTCTAAATTCAAACAAAAAAAAATAAAATTTAGATTTAAAAAAATAATAAAAAAATACACAGTACGCAAATGCAAAACACAACAGCAAATCTTCCAATGCCAAAAAATACAATTTACAATTTGCAAAAGATCTATTATTACGGATTGCTATTTGCAGTTTTCAATTTTATGTTTCAAATTTAGTTTGTCAATTTTTAAATTCTTTTTGGTGTTTGGTGAAGCAAAAAGTAAGATAAAAATGAAACAAAAAAAAATATAATTCACTATAAATAAATTTAGAGAGAGAGGAAGAAGCGAATAACTAATTTTTTGTAACCAAGGAGGTGTTTGTTGTCGACCAAGAGATAATCTCGTAATGTAAAACTCCCTTCTTTTCTTTCTCTATGTATTTATATTTCCTCATACAAATCATTTGGATTCTTGTCTATGTATTTCTTCAACCAAAAAAAAAAAAAGAATACGAAAAAAAAAGAAAAAAAAGGTTTGAAGAGAAAGAGAGAGTAACACACGTGAGAGAGACCAGGAGAAAGAGAGATGTGAGATTATGAAACAGAGATGTGAGATTATAAATAAATAGAGACGTGAGATTGGAGATAATGAGAGAGTAATATGTGGGATTTGTTCCATAATTAATTGATGGTGTTTATGTCTATATACTAATACTTTTATTTAATTTATATTTTTAATTTGAGTCAAGAGACCTACACCTATATTCATCTAACAACTTGGATCCCCACCTATATAAGTTTGAAATAAGGTGTCTAGCCTATTTCCCCTTACTTGTATTACATTATATTAGAAAGTTTGTATAAAAATTAATCATGCATGCCAGTGAAAGCATTACTACAATGATATTTACCCAAAAAAAATATTATTTCACTCATTTAAATTTAATTGACCGAAATTTAGCAAGAAAAAAAAAATGAAATAGAAAAGAAGGTTCATGGAAATAGATCAATGAAATCCCTGTCATTGCAAATTTTTGAGAAGTTTTCTTACTTTCTATGTGAATGGGAAGTCTTGACCTATAAATTAGGAAAATCAATATATTTGCCTTTGTTTCTATTCCATGTCCACATTGTTTCAGTGGAGCAGTTCCATAACAAACTTTGTTTCATACCTTTTAAACAAAATCAACTTAGTCTCCAAATTGTGAGGTTATTATTAAAATAAGGAGATATATTCATAACTTACACTTTCACCCCTCAACTGGGATTTTCTTCATTCTTTCACCATCTTGCAATTTTAAAGATATTTTAGGTATTGTTGCATTGTTATTGTGATATAATATTTGGAGTTCACTTCAAAATTTGAAAACAAAAATCAAGATAAAGAAAATAAAAAAATGGTTAATGGAATCATGAATGCAGATATAAGTAGAAATTCTTTTTTTCTTTTGATTTTGATTTCGCAAGTCAACTATATTCATTCTTTTTTCTTCTGAATTTGTTCGCTTTTTTTAGCAAGTTGGGGGTTGTTACTATTTTGCTTGTATTGATCTACCTATGTGTGAAAGAGCTCGCCAGATCATACCTGGTTGGCTTCGTAGGATCAACAAGCTTGAAGAGGACCTGAAGAAGAAACAAGAAATGAAAAACTGGCTGTGGATTGGAATGTTTGTTTCATCGTTGATTGTCTACTGTTTTCTGTAAAGTGATATAGTGGTTATGTATTGGGTTGTTATGTTATTTTAATGAACAATGAAGCTTAAAAAGTGTTTGGAGTACTCTGTTTTTCTGTTAGAAAATAGTCAGTTTTGATGTAATGGATGTTTCAAATGAATTAATGAAATTTAGTTGTCAAATTGAGCACTCTATTTGTATGTATGTTTTGTTCTTAAAAAAATTGACTTATTTGTGTTTCTATGTACTCAATTCAGAAACATCAACAAAATATAATAGAGGAAAACAAGTTTAATCCATACAAAATAACACAAGTTTTATCCATACAAAAATTATACAAATCATGATGACTACAAAATAACACAAGTTTAATCCAAACGATGCAAGTTTCATCCACCTAGTGGATCCACAAAAAACAAGTTTAATTCAAAAAAACAAATCAGACAAAATCAATGGATGATTTTTTGGTTTAGGTGTTTTATTGTTGGGTGCTTGGCATTGTGAGCTTCTTGTTGTATATGTCTATCATCATTGCCTTCATTGGCTGAAAATGAGTCCATGGATAAGACTGCTGGCTACTTGACAAGATTGTTGAGTGCTTGAAATTGCTTCCAACTGCACTCTTGTTTGTAACATTTGAATTTCTTGATTGTTGAGTGCTTCCAACTACAGCCTTGCCTTTGTCACTTGCATTTTTTGATTGAACATATGGCTGTTATTGTTGACTGCTTCCAAGTGTACTTGGGGCTTTGTCATTTGCATTCTTTGAGGAAAAAAATGGTCTCCTTGGTGTTCTTGCTTTGGGTATCCCCAGACTCTTGTTGGGCCCTTTTGTAGGTGGCTGTGATTGTTTCTTCTTGCATGTTCTTTTAGTTGGAGCATTCTCTTCAATCTCAACATTGCTTTCAATCTGCACTTCGCTCTCATGTTGCATTTTATTCACATCATTGTTTTCAGCCTGCAAAAATATATAATAAGTCAAAATCATGTAGCCAACTTCAATCTTATTTTACAAAAAGCATTACACTTACTGGAGGCATTTTCAATTCAACATACACTTCATCAATTAAATCAAGGTCAATCTGCAAATCACTCTCAACATTGTTTTCAAACTGTAAATCACTCCCAAATGTGCTTTGAAACTGCAAAATTATAGAGTAAATCAAGATTAACATAGTTCAATATCTTACAACTTGCCCTATGATGGTAGACTTACTGTAGGTATATGCATTTCATCACCCTCTTCATCAAGTAATCTTAGTCCACCTTGAACCTATTAGGCAAAAGTATTAATGTTATAATGGTAGACTAACTGTACCTCAATAAGAATAATCTATTAAATCATTACAATTACCTTATCCATTGGTCTCTTGCCTCTTCCTCTTCTGGTGACTGGTAACTTTGTTCTTGTTGGAACAACTGCAGGCTTAACAGTTCCAACTCCACTTGATTTTGTTGCAGTAGGCATAAAGGATTCAACTCCACTAGTTCCAACATCAGTCTTCTTTTCTTTTGTCTACAAGCTCATGACATTACATAATTACAAATAAAGTCACATAAAAATACTGAAAATACTTAATTAATGTAAGGCTCGTACCTTTCTTTTGGTGGTGGTTGGTACTTGGCCAATTCCACTAGCTTTCCTCAATGGACATCCCTTTGCATTATGCATTATGTCTCTTTTCTTGACAGTGCCTGCATGTCATTATCACACCTTGCCTGCCCAGCTTCCCAATCTTTGCTATGCCTTTGCTAGTTGCTGCTGGTATATCATTTGGCCCATTAGCTTCACCAGGTTGCTTTCTTTCAGTGTTGAGCTTTGGTCTTCCTGGCATCTTTTCAATGTCAGGGGAAGCAATTTAGGCTTTCCTGATTGTGGCCACATTTTATGGCCATCAAGTGTGTCCATCAGATGGTTATAGACCCTCAAATATGTTTCTTTTCTGTAGAAGTTGTCCATATAACTTTCAGGTAAATAGCTCATATGAAACATCACTGCAATTGCATGTGCACAGGGGATTCCACTGAGTTGCCATCTTCTACAGCTACAGGTTTTATCTCCTAGATTCACTCTGAACTTTGAACCAAAACAACCCTCCAGCTCAAATTGATCCTTCCCATTCCAGTGTGCAATAAACTCCATTGTTTTCTCTTTTGAAACATCCAGCTGCTTTTGGATATTAGGACATATTTCCCCTCTGTATTTGGCCATTTTATCCCTCTTCACATGAACACTTTTCATCAAAATCATCCTAATAGCTTCTAACATGTCAATTATGGACAGAATCCTAGGCCTTAAAATCAAGGCATTGAAACTTTCACGCATGTTATTCAGTAGAGTGTCACACTTGGAATTGCAACTGAAATATGCTCTAGACCAGTGTGCTGATGGCCTTTTGGCAAGCCATTGAAATGTTTTTTTGTCTTTTGCAGCCAACTCCCTCAACACTTTGTCAAAGTCAACAACTCTTGAAGCCCTTGCAGCTTGCCACAAGATATTTTTCAGAGCTAATCCTCTGTGTGAGAGCTTGAAGTTGCAATACAAATGCATCACACATAATCTGTGCTCACAGTTAGGCATCACCATATCAACTGCATCAACCAATCCCTTCTGTTTGTCACTCATAATAGTCAATGGACCACAGTTTTCTATCTCCAAATATGTTTTCAACAAATCCATAAACCACACCCATGAATCTCTCTTCTCCTTCTCAACAACTGCATAAGCAAATGGATAGATACCATTATTGGCATCTATCCCCACAACAGATAATATAATTCCCCCATAATATGACTTCAGGTGACAACCATCAAGGAAAATTATGGGTCTACACCCCTCTAGAAAGCCCTGCTTCAGTGCTCCCCAACATAAATAGATTCTTTTGAACTTCAGCTTGCCTCCATCATCTCTGGTCTTGATTCTAATTGTGGTGTTAGGACTACATCTTCTTATATCTTCAGCATATCTCCAAACAAGCCCATATTGTTCCACACTTGAGCCAGTGTTCATTTCTGTAGCCTTTCTTTTGGCCCTATACACTTGGTGTCTACTGAACAACAACTTACAGTCCTTCTGAGCAACACTCATCATTGAGTCAACTGGCCAGTTTGGATCACTTCTTAATTTGTCCTGATACCTGTTGGCCAACCAACTAGAAGTAGCACAAGCAACTTTCTCTTTTCTATTACACTCATGGACTGCATGGATGGTTTTAATTTTTAGGGTAGCCTCACCTCTCATGTTTGATGCATAAACATTCCAAGGACAACTTTCATGTTTGTATATTGCTTGAACTATGTTTTTCTCATTTTTTGAGAACTTAATGTCTCTACCATTTATAACAGCATGTTGTTTCACAGCATCCCTGAAAGTGTTCATATCAGAGAAGCAGAGACCAAGTTGAAATTGAGGATTGACCATGTCCACTGTAGGGTTGAAAACAGGGAACTTATGATGTGTGAATTGGTTTTTTTTTTTGAGTGAATGCCACCTCTTCATGAACCACTTTATTTAGTCTCTTAGATCTTCTAGTGGTCTTTTTGACAGTTGGACTGTCTGCTGATGGTTTATCCCTTAAGCCACCCTATTCTACACTGAAGTCAACATGGTCATCATAGTCAACATCATTATCAGATTCAAACCATTCACTGTCAACCAAGAAATCACTATATTCTGAATCCTCCCCAAGGGATTGCACATCACTGCCTCCACTATCATTCATATCAATCAAACCATCATCAAAAGGGTTCAACTCAGGCACACTATCAGAATCTGAGGCATCACTAGCATTTTCATACACATCAGGCTCATCATCATCTCCTGCATAACCAACTGGCTCATTTGCTTCTAGAAATTGTGCAGATGACTCACCCAAATACTCATTTTCTGACTCTTCAGCGCTTTGATGTTGAACATAAATTGCTGCCACCCTTTCCTCATCAAGAAAGTTCACTAAGTTCAATGTATCACTATCGTCTTGTAGCAAAACGAAATTATCACACCCATGTCTACTGTGGAAGAACCCAACTACATCTTTCAAATCTAACTCCTTGGCCATCTCAGTAAGCTCTATCATAGACATTTCATCCACAGTAATCGAAGAAGTGAACATCTCCAGCCAAATAACACCTTCCACTGAGGGTTAGAAACTTGCCGGAATGATACATTTTGATTGTGAAGTGTTCACTATTAGGACCTGGATTATAAAACACAACACGAAATAACTAAGTCAACAACTGTAAATAAAAAAATTGATTAAACAATAATAAATAAATAAAACGGCCCACAAAGTGGTCCAAAACTTGAAAAAAATCAATAGCAGACAAAGACCAAGAATGTGTTGTTTCCATATGCTTTAAACCATTAAAAAACTGGGCACTTTAGTATTATACTCTATTTTCATTGTCGTTTTCGACCTAAACTCAACAACACCCAACATAAAAAATTGGTTCTTTTCAAAAGTTATAATAAGACATGGAAATCAACAAATCAAACATCATACCGTAATCTGGAACATCACTACTGGCTTGTCGCAACCTCCATACCATCTTGCACTTCAGGAGCGGACATAAATGGACCCAATTTCGCAGAGATAGAAAAGTCCTAAAGATTTCGTAAATGGGAAAAAAACTGTTGTGAGTGAATAATGACAGTGAAGAAGAATAAACGGGAGATAGAAAAGGGGGGTTGAGTGGAAAATACTAATTTACCCCAGCTATATTCACGTGCAAGGCACATGATTTTGATTCCGGTCAGAATTGGCCAAAAATGGACTATTTCTTAATCGGTGCTAAAAATACGTAAGTTCAGGTATGCCCGTACAATTTTTTTCCGTTCAGGGGGTAAAGCGCAAAAACGTTCAAATTTTAGGGGATTTTTTGCAGTTAACTCTATTAAATAATATCTTTTAAAAGTTGGACAAGTTGTTATTTATCAAAAGTCCAGTATTATTTTCAACAGAACTTCAAAGAGGAGTTATATCGATGAAGTCAGCGAAGTTGTTCCAATGGAGGTAGTCGAGAAGCATGAAAAGTACTTGGGACTTCCTTCTGTTATCAGTAATCAAAACGGATCGTTTTCAATTTTCAAGTATTAAAGGATCTAAGGGGAATATGCGTTCTAATATAACATATGAGCTTATTACATTTGCTATTCCTGTGAAAATCGTAACTGTGCATTTTCCTAGTGTCATAAAAAAATTAGCAAATAACCCCATGTATTTATTAGTCACAGGCAGAACCCCTTTGTCGCAAATCGTGTGTCTCACTCGCGGTTTCTGAGATTTTTCTTCTTTTTGTTTCGCAAAATGACATAATTGCCCCCAACTGCTTTTCTTTATTTTTCTTTTCTGTTTCTTTAATAAATATCAAGTATAAATTAAATAAAAAATTGAATAATTTTTAATTTTCTCAAACAAAACCACCACCGTTCTCAACCATCGTCCGCGATGGGGACACTAAACCACCACCACTCTTTGCTGCAATATACACCACTCTCTCATGGCAGAATCGGGTTTGTGGGGCCAATCACCTCTCCTCTTCGTAATTTTTTCTCAACTCCATCACCTGCAAACTCACTTCCGATAAACGCGCACCAGGCGCTCAATTTCTGCAGCACCGAAGATGCCTCTTGTCGATTAATCAGACGCATTTTCCCAGCCACACAAACTGTTCGACGAAATAGTATAGCTCCTCGCCGCCGTAGGCGACGACGGAGAGGAGGAAATTCTGGTGTAAGTGGGAGGCGGCAACGAGGTGAAGTTGGCGGTGGACGGGTGTCTGAAGCGAGAAGAGCGGAAGAGACATGTTGTGGAAGGAAAGGGGTGGGGCCGGCGGAGGTGGCGGCGGGAAGAGGTGATTGCCGGAGGTGGTGGTGGTGGCGATTTCAATGAGGAATAAGAAGAAATTTGGGCAAGACCATATTTTCTCAATATAGTGTTTTCAGCCCTCACAATTTTATAAATATAATGTATTTTCCGGAAAATTACAATTAAGTCCTCTAACTTATTATTTGATTAAGTTTCTACATTTTTTTAGTAATTCAATTTGGTCCCTAAGTTTTTTTGCACAAACCTCCCCAGGATATTTTTGTCCTTTCACAGCCAGTTAACAGATGAATTTTACTCTAATTCCACTTTTCGTCTCCATGTTCTAAGGTGAACAAATTGCACTCTCAATTTATCAATGGGGCGTGCTAAATCCCACACTAAGGTTTACTGAATCACACACACAAATTAAAAGGTTTATCTCTAGCTCTAACATTACAAATTCTCTACATCTATTATCTATCACTTCTTCTCCTCAGGGCATTCCCTCAACCACTCAAAAACAAAAATGAACGCAATATTTTCATACGACGATCCTCTCAAACCACATTTATGATTTCAAATTCACTCAGTAATTTTGATATTACGTAATTTTAATATTAAAAGAAATTGAAACAATAATTAACATTCATTTAACATCATTAAATATTTATTTAATATTACTTAAACGACTAATTAAAAGAAGAAAAAGAAAACACTAAACCACACCACCCAAAAAAAAAACAACCTTCAGAGCATCAGCTATGGTTTTGTGTGTGATGTCTTTTTTTATTTATGAGATGGTTTAGTGTGTAATTTTGTATGAAGTGCGGGAAAATGAAGAGAGGTGGGGAGGAGAAAAGAGAAACGATTTTTTACTGAAAAAGTTTAGAGATAGAAACATTTTTAATTGTGTGCGTGATTCAGTAATTTTAGTGCGGGATTTAGCATTTCCGTTGTGTTACACTTTTGGTCCGGCACATTAGTTGATCGTTTAGGACTAACGAACGATATTTTTTTTGGGGTTAAAATTAGAATTTAGAGTTGAGTTGGGCTAGAAATGAGAGACTGCCTCTAATTTTTCAAAACTACTTCTTTTGATTCAAAGAAGAATCTTTAAAATAAGAGAGTGATTATAATTTTTTTTAGAAACATATCTTAAACTCTTTTTAAACTGGCACTTAATTAATGTATTCATATGAAGTAGTATTTCAAACTTATATTTATATTATTAGGAATAGTAATATGAATAGCTTGATGACTTTATCCTAGAAAATACTACCCAATTATTTAAAAGGATTGGTTTTATAAAAATATATTTATTAAAAGACAAATAATATCTCTTTGTTTAAAAAATTTCCTTCTTTGTGTCAATTTTACATGATATGATTATTACAATATAAAATACCTTTTAGTTTATTGTATTCAACATCTGCGTGTTTATTCTAATTATGAAAAAACTTTTCATGTTGTTGTACTGGCAAAACCCGTATATGATTCAACTTTTTTTTAACAAAAGGCTACAAAATTCATCATTTAGATCGTCGTGTGGTAAAAACAAACCCATCGTAGGAGTACTTGTGCTAATATTAATACTATACATAGAGTTTTTATACAACCCGGAAAGTAAAATGAAAATGATCCTCAAAATATGTCCAAATCGACATATCCGAAGTTTTTCTACTATTTGAGGTTTTGTGTCTTTCACTTATTCACGGGTGAGGCCCGATTGGTGGCCGTGGCGGCGGCGGAGGTGGACTTGCCAGTCTTCGTGGAGCCTGTATTTGATAATTTTTTTTGGAACCATACTCTGAAATAATAAAAAGAAAGAGTCAACAAGCCCGTGATGGATTAAACAATATCGATATATCTACACCAGCATGTTTGAAGTTTTTGGATATATTAAAATGTACAAAGTTTATATGCACTACAAGAAAAAAAATGGCATTAGTCCTCTAAAAAAGAGAAAATCACAAAAAAATCGACCTGTATATGTCGAGAAATGGAGACCGATTTCAAAAACAAAAAAAAAAACCTTGAAAATCGACTTCCAAGCTTGAAAATGACATGGATACATAACTATATCGGTTCTCTGTCCGTGTAAACTACCATTTTATTGTCTTGTGACTTCATTTGGCATGATTTTTGAGGTTTTGATTCTTTGAATTTGGAGGTTTTTTGGGGGTTTTGTGAAGAAGGAGTAGGAGGGGGTTTGGGAAGAAGACGGAGAGGGGTGTGAGAGTTGTTTATGGTATTAAAAAAAATGAGATTTTTTATATTTGTGTGATATTGTTTTTCATTAATGTTATATTGGTATTTATGTTATTATAAATTTATTACCTATTTACTATCTATTTTTTTATTTAGGTGGTATTAAACTGGGAAAGAAGTGTATTTGAAATAGTCGCCTCTTATGAAGAATTGAAGAATAAAAATAACGCATCCCAAAATGAAGAACCAACTGGCAGCTGTAGGCTATGTTCAGTGCCGTCGTCGAAGGGCGTTGCCGCCTCGTCCGTCGTCAATTCGTAGCGCACGACAGCGGCCTATTATGGGTGAGTGCACAGTTGCTTTCTTTCTTAGAGGAACAACAAAGTCGAGAGAGAGGGAGGAATAG